GAAGTTAATCTTAGAATGAACTAAAGTTTGTGTTTCACTGCTGTAGTCTCAGAATTGATGTGATGATCTTTTCTTCTTGACTTCCTTGAAAACACTTTTCAGAAGTATTTTATTCCTTATTTTAAAGAGAAAAAACCCCAAGGTTAAGATTGCTGAACTTTTATCCCAGAGACTAACCTTAATACTGATACTTCATTTCATTTCAAAGCATGAAGTATTTATGACTCATTCTAATTTACATAGATTTTCTTAATTTATTATAAAAATGGCAATTTTCCTTTGCAGAGACATATAGAACATGGTCTCTCTTATTATGTCAAGTAACATTTAATAGCCCTTAGCTGTAACTTGGGACTGTTACAAAATGTGCTCACGATGAGTCATCTTCATTCATTTATTCTGCAATACGAAGAATTCATGAATGAGTGATCTGCAGTAATTCACTTCTACAAAGAGAGCCCATTCATACATTTCAAACCTGGTTTTCTGAATCACTGTAATGTAGCTGATTATTTCACTAACAGAAGAAAATTTTGGCTTAAGGAAAGTTTCCACAGAAGTCTGAGTATATGTGAGAACAGTTTCATAGATTTAAAAGAGCTCTTCTGAAAATAAACATTTTGGTCTAACACATGGATACCCAGACAGATATCTTCCTATCTATCCAGCAAGAAAAACACAGTGTCTTTGAAAAGTAAAGAGACTGACAAATGGTTTAAATTGAAGTTGCTTCAAGAAGGGGCAGAAGTCATCACTATCAGACAAACCAGTAGGCAGCCAAAAAAAAGTTTTATAAAATCAGAAAAATGGCCACTAGCACACAGAAGTGCTCATTTGAAGCTGTATTTAAGTCAAAATACATAGAAAAGCAACTAAGATCCAAGATTGATAAATACAGAAATATAAAGCAACCACGCTTCTTATTTTACAGAAATATAAATGTAAGAGATGAAGAATAAAATACACAAATTATTTTAAGTCATCAAAACTCTGCCAAAATAAAGGAATGGGATTCACCAAGGAGAAAAGGCCCCTTAACCATCACTGCTCTTTTGCCACCCTTAAGAGGTTTCAAACCAGCAAATAATCTTAAGAGCCTTTTCACCCAATCTTAACTGCCATAGAAGCAGCCCACGTTGAGAAGCCACTTCTCACTTACCATACTTCCAAAACAGTCAGAATTATACCAGCAAACATATGGTAAGTCGGTACAGAGACCTGGGTATAAATGCAGCATTTTCTTCAGAAGCCTAGCTCACAGAAAAAGCACAGTGTGCTTCTCCATTAATTGGTGCTTTAAGTTTTCATTGCTTCATTGATTCAAGGACAGCTCTAAAATAGTCACTTCACTCACACCTCTCATTTCTCCTGTAGAGCCACTGTCCTTGTTTACAGGTTGAGAAGTTTTACCCTATGTATAGAGTATCCAAAGTAAGGATAGTTCTCTTTACAAATAAAATAACTATGACAAGAACAGTACAAAGATTGATGGAGCATCTCAATGTTTCCAACAGACAGGGATATGATGCAAGAAAATACAATTAACATTATGGTCAGATTTATAAACAACCCACATTGACTTCAGCAGACAGAGCAATCTCAAGGTGCACTGACCAGCAATAAAGCACAAGAGACATCTAGAATTATCCAAGGAAAAGTGACTTACCAAATCACCCAACCTACTGTATCTGCACTTCTACTGGGGATCCATCCAGAAGCAGCTTGCTACTTATCAACTTCCATTCTTTCATTTTAGTATTATACACACGTAATTTCAATTTAAACATATGCCCATGCAAATTGCCTTGCAAGAACCTGAATTTACATTTTATCATTTTCATCTTTGGTCAATATGTAACATTCCAAATTCTTAACTATCCTTTGTAGTACCAAATTATTTCTCTTTCTCCTTGGATATCTTTTGGTAAGACTTTACTCCAAAGAGACAACATATTTGCTAATCACCATTTTGCTAAATATAAATTAGAATACAGGCTTAGAAAAACAGTACTTGAAAATTTTCTGTTCCGTAAAAAAAAAATTATACTATGGTCAACATTGAACTGAAGTCCTTGTTATTTGTAGAATACTGAACATCCCACAAAATATGAAGTAAATTAAGTTCTCAGAACCAGTTCATTTTAGAAAGCAAACATCAGAAAGGAAGAGAGATTTGTTTGGTGGTCACTTACCATTCTATCACAAATAAGTAAGTCTTGTGAATTATGCATGTAAGCTTTACAAGGCTCATTTTGAAAGGGTAAGGGAATGCCTGTAATAAAGTATTAAGTCCATTTCATGAAAAATCTTTGCCTATACTAATGCTTTGCCTCCGGGTGGATTCCAAGTGTTATATAAGACAAAACCATATTAATTGCAATATGCAGTATATTTGTTGTATATAATTACAATTTTTCTGTGGGCAATACGTGCTGTGGTTTTGCAAAGTAGTATACAGACACATATTTTTAACATATGTAATAGTACCTCTTTTTACATAGTACATCACAGAAAAAGCTGAGTATGCATTCTTTGCAGAGGCTTTTAAGTCAATACAGTCAGAAAAGAATATAAAGATGGGTAAATATTTAAAGGAAAAACTGAGATTGGAAAAAAGTATTACGAAAAATTATAATGACTAAAGTAACTTCCCACTGACTGCATCTCCACTGAATTTCAGCCATCTTTGCTTTCTTCGTGCCTTTTTTTAAAATAAGCATCTCTGCACATTTATAAGGTTTCCTCCAAACTATACTCATTATGTATTTCCACATCTTTAACTGATTTGACCTAATAGCTGAGTGCATGCACTGAAGAATATAACAGGGAACTGATGCAAGCTTGCTTTCTTTAGAGTCAACGCAGTAGTCTCCTGTGGCTATAACCTGTTTTGCAGACTGGCCATCCATTTTGTAGCCAAGTCAAGGGCAAACTATGTTTGAGAAGTTGTGGCAGAGCAAAAAGGACCACCGATACCAAATTACTTTCTGCAGTGTGCATCATCTGAAATGGTTCACTTTATACAAATCTATACACAGAAAACAGGAAAGTAGACATTGCTCATTAGTTGCAATACATACAATGAAAAAGGTACAGCATCAATTACTAAGGGAATTTCTTCTTTAAGCCAGACAGACCCAACAAGCCAAAAGGCAGAAAGATGTGTTGGCATAGCACTCATGAAACACAGAAATGTCTCAGGAGTGGCAAGAATAGATCAGAAAAGCAACATACATAAGATCATGTGCAACTCAGCTTCTGTTCTAAGATTAGTGAATGTACAGATATGAAAAACCTCTGTGCCCTCTGTTTTACTACCAACTGTAAGCCATACTTTCACATCCTGGAAGGGGGAAGGACAAGGAGAATGTGTATATGACAGGAGGTTTGCAAAAGCTCTGGAACTGATTTGGGATGCATGTTCTGAGATGACTAGTGCCACTTTTTAGGAAAGTTGTAAAGACCGTACCTGAGCTTAGACTTAGTGAGACCCAGCAACAATTGCCTAATAACTGCTCACGCTCACTTTCATATTTAAAGCATGAAGAAATCAGCAGCTGAATCAAATCACAATAGTGAGCAGCCTACTCGGAAAGCAAGATGGACCAGGCAAGGATAAAAGCTGTACCATGAAAGGATAGAACCGTATCTATAAAGATACGATCTCAATATTTTTGCAGTTCATCACACACTTCCTGCTTTCAAGATGATCATGCAAGGGAAGCGTCAATTCATTCCCCCCCTCCACTAAGCCCATCTGATAAGTCAAAATTAAAACCAAAAATGCAATGCATGCCACTCTCTTCAGTATTTTGTGCAAGAGAAGTAAAATACATTTTATCTGTTCTTTAACTTAAATTGCAAGACAAAAAAAAATCACTATGTTCCCCTCAAATATTGCCAAGTAGCACTTACACAGCTGTGTTTCAAATAAGCCCTATAGAAATGTGAGCTGCAACACTGATTCATTTGTGGCTCAAAGGCAGCAACAATACCATGCAACCAGCACAAGTTTTGAAAAATGGTGCTAACGGACATGTAAACTTTAAGAATTGTCGCTATAAACTTAATTACAATCCAAAGTTTCTTTTTAATCAGTTATTTTGTAGCCAAAGGATCTGCCTATGACACTGGAAACCAGACCTTTCATCTCTTCTCAGACTGGAGAAAGTGAGGAAAAGAGCTGGAAAATACTTGCTTCAGCTTCCCAGAACAGTATCTGTTGAAGCTGGGCCAACATCCAAGGGAAAAAGAAAGAGGAAAAAGAAAAAAAAAAAGGGGTAGGATTCATTGGCCCAGAAGATAACCAGCAAAAAAGTGACCTGATAGCTGAATCTGTAGATACTCTCTTATAACACAGTAAAGTGGTATTCTAAATAGCAACAACATCTGATTGCTTGTTTCTTGCAGCTGTAGATAGGCTTAACTGGTGGCTATTTTCATTCAGAATATAAAACAACATCTAAACTGACCACTGCATACAGGGATGCTACACTTAGACAAAGCATTTGTGTTTTGAAGCTGCACTTGCTACAACTCAGAAAGAACACAATTAGGCCCCTAGAGATAATGAAAAACTATTAGTGGATAACAGACAGCTACTACTGTGGGGACAGGCAAACAATGTCCACATGACAGCAAAGAATAAAAAAAATAAACTCAAACGAAATTAGCAACTGCAGCTTTTAATCTGAGGTCTATGTAATAAATGAGGTTAGTCAAAAGTTGCTACCACAGCACTTCCCTGTTTGCTTTGCAAACTGAAAATGTCGTGTGTCCCGTCCCCCCCCCCCCAAGAAATTTAACTTCATCTAATATAAGAAGTACTTTGTTTATGTTAGGGAAATCTAAATCAAATGATCCTTAGAACCTAATCTTTTAGGTCTTTAAATGGCTCTTGTATTTAAAATAATTTCTGTCAGTCTTTTAACACCACAAAGTGCCTTTTATTTATCCTGATGCAGACTCAGGAAATATTAAAATGAATTTATTAGCTTTACCTGTAATGCACTGAAACTGTCCATCTTCTCTTCTTATTGTAAATGCTTCCCCTGGATTAACTTGCACAAGAATAACCTTAAAAATAAAAGAGTGTTTACAACCATTACACAGGAATATGATACAGAAGTCTGATAATTGCAAAATAAAAAAGAAAGTTTTACTGGGAAAAAACAATTTTTTTTCTGGTTAGTAAATACATTATTTTTCACTTCACACTGCTTGCTGCCTTCATCCCACAGAGAAAAAGAGATAAGAGCAAGAACCAGTACAGATCTTTTTAAACAAACATTTTTCAGAGAACCAAGGAGAGAATAACAACTGAGTAAAACAGTACCTGTACAAATTTTATTTTCTCGATGGCTTAGTATAATTAATTAAAAAGCTCTTTGTACAGCTTAAATTATTTCAACAAATTACATTAATTTCAACATTAATCAAACCATTACATAAAGTTTCAGAAGGAAGCCTAGGATTCCTAGTGTTTGAATTTTCATCATAACCACTTGGCAAATAGTTTTCAACATTAGGGAAATATTGTGTCATCTCCTTCTTTACACGATCCAAGCATGTTTGTACATATATTGATGATAAAACAGTATTAGAAGTCATGACAAAGTAAGTACCCCAGATGCACAGCATGAAGCAGTATGTATAGTTTTATTTGTGGAAAGCTATTTATCCTAATTTTGTAAACCCATGCAATGCAGAATTGATAGCAAAGCACATTTATCAGCCAAAATAAACAGAGGAAGCCTGACATGTACCAAAGCAGAAGCCCGTTACCATTTTAGACTTCTGTATTCTCATTTGAAACCTGCCTTTCTGTGAGGAAAAAAAAGCTTGTAACCATGAAGAACCTAGCTAAAAATTATGAACAAAGGGAAAAAAAAACCCAGAAGAGCGGGTGCATTTCATAATTTCTTTTCTGGACACATCTTTCTTCAGTCTCGCTTGCACGTGTCTAAATAAGAGTGTATGTCCTCCTCCTGGCATGAACTGGAGAGACACAACTCTTTATATACACAACTCTTCAGTATTATGGCCAAAAGTTTACTCTGTTAAATTGCTAAAAGAAAATAAAATTGGTCTTGTTTACAAAAAAAGGAAAACAGGAAACTTGAGTGTTACTCATTTTAAGAATGCCAGAGAGAAAGGAAAGGGTGAGGAAAAGGCAGAAATCATACAAATTCCTCCCCCGCTGGTAGAGCAACTTTACAAATTAATGAAAAGATGGCAAATTCTACCCTAACATACCTGCAACTTTGATGAGATATGACAGCTACTCACATTTTCAAACTTAGGCCATGTGATTCAATACCAATTTAGCTAAGTTTTGAGCTTAAAAATACTACTTTAAGTTGTTTCATGTGGCACAGTGTTGTTACTGGAGCATGATGTGTCCGGAAGCTTTAGGCTCTTTGACAAACACCAATGAACTATATCACTATTTACGTTTTATCATGCTAATAAATTTTCCAGATCTTCTAAAGTGTGTCTGAATATAAAATTCAGGAAGAGTTAGCATTCATAATATAACCTAAACTTAGAAACAAGAGGATTTTAGACATGAACTTCAAATAAGACTTACAGGTCTTCAGAAAATATTGTATTGCCAGAATTTATTGTAAAGTGTATGAAGGTAGCATTTTAACAACTGGCTATCACCTTCAGAACGTGACAAAGGACAGAAATATGAGTGGATGAGTTCTTAAAATTTCTTTTTCAGACTTCCCAAGCAGGCATAACTTTTTAAAGACATATTTCATTAATTTACTTTCCCCTCTCTGCTACAATTGAAAGTTTTAGCTTGAAATTTAGACTGGAATAAAAGTACCTAAAAGCTTCGCAGGAGTACATGAGAACATCTTTCCATCTCTTATGTGTAGGCTGGATAACCACATCTGCCTAGTCTTTTGGCTGACTTAGTATGTCCAAACTCCTGGTAGGAGCCATTCTGACTGCAGCTGACATGTCAATCTGCAATTTTCAGCTCAATATTCCTCTATGTATGAACTACGAGAAGCAGAAAATCTGCAAAGCCCTCGAGTTTTAGGGCAATGGCTAGTATAAATCCCTTGATTCCTGCTTTTAAAGGAACAGGGAATGGGAGATGACTGGTATTCCTGCATTGGTCCCCTTTTTTTTGTGTGAGTGCCTGAGGTTGGTAACCTGGGTAATAATGTTGCCCTGGGAACCTGCTGGTTTTCTTCCTCCAGACCTCTGCTGCGGGACATCCGAACTGGAGGTTCCAGCTGGCACAGTGGATGTGAGCATGGGAATACACGTACCGGCCCAACTGCAGCAAGCGGGCCCTATGCATCCTGATCTTCTTTTATGGCGGTTTCTCCGGTGTGAGAATCTCTGTTGTTCACTTCACAACTAGCCTGAGAAGGCGAAGGCTCAAGACACCAGCCATGGCGTAACACAGTGAGGGGGGGGACTGTTCAGCAGCGGCTGTGCCACAAGGCAACAGGTCTCCTGATGGGGTCCAGCACCACTCTGACGCTTAGGATGTCATCACATTTCCACACCTCTGAGGACACCTGACTTCCACTCAAAAGGGTGGGGAGACCCGCCAACTTAACACGGCTTAATTAGGTACTCAGTTCCCAGGAAAAGGAAATAGAGCCTTTTTGTCAATGGACTATTAGTCAACTTGATGTCTGACTGTGTTATTTATTTCACTGGCTCCCACTTTCAGCCTTGCTTTTATGTTGTGCATTTGCATTTGGATTTTACGACTGTTCCAAGATAGGCTGTATTTGTTGCCAAGTGTGCCAAAACAGAGCCTGAATCAGGGCTGAAGTAATTTCAGAAGTTTCAAGAACTCCTGGCTTCAAAAGTCTTTGTGTTGGGGTAACGTGTGTCAACATGACCAGCACTGGTTGCTGGACCAGCCTTATCACTGCTGAACCCCATGGAGTAATCACTGCTTTGAGAAGGACATTTCTGACACTTACTCACCACCTCAGTAGATGCAATTTGAAATAAGAAAAATTAAAGCTATGCATAGAGAAAGAGAGACTGATACCTTTCTGGTCAGAAAAGATATTACCAAAGACAATCACTTACAGGGATTCCCTCTTATCTAATAAGAGTCTGCGGCACATAATCAAGTATGCAAGAAACCTTTTCCTTTAGAGAAATTAACACAGATCTTTCACAGCATCATGTGTTAGGCAAACAAAATCCACAGGTTGCTTAGTATTTATAGCTCTTTCGTCTCATTCTAGGTGGCTTTGTGCAGATTTGCACATCTCATTGTCCAACACGCTGCTTCACGAACCCTAATATCAGGCCCTTGTCTTTCACACTGAATATTCTAGACCTTGATCTCCTTCCTCCTCTGGGCAAAACATTCATGTTAGCTTAAACTAAGTGAAAAGCTTTGGAAAAATCTGATGGTTTGGCATCTCTTCCCATGCCTCAATCTTTTTGTCACAAATCCTGTTGCTTTACTCAGAGCATCTAAAGCTCTGCTATCCAAAGGCTAACATGCATTATTCTATCCAGATTTCCATTGCCTGCTCCTCTAAGATAACTATGATAATCTGAAAAAACTCATTTGTGATGTGCCAGTCTCAGTGGGAGGCACCTTTAACACAGCCACTTTTCAAATGCCATTTCTCTTTCTAAATCATCTAAATCAACAAAACACTAATTAATGACTTCACAAGCTTAACAAAATAATGCGAACTTAAGACACTGAGGCCTTGATAGAGGCTCTAGAAGCCTACGAGCACTTCTAAAGCATAACCAACTATAACAGAACCTAATAAAATTTGAAAGCGTAATTTCTCAATGCTAACACAACTTTGACTCAACATATTTCTGTCTCAAGTTCAAAACATGCCAAGGCATTGCTATTAAGAAATGGGAGTATTAGATCAACAACTAGTATTGTGTCATTTCCACTGGGACTATAAATTGTTTCCTTTAAACAGTTATTTAATGATGATCCACATGACCTCAGCACAGTTCCTGATGAAAAACAGTACAAAATATCTTTCCAGAGATTAGCATACAAGTTGACAATACGAGAGTACAGATACACACTTATGCTAAAAACAGTTCTTACATAAATAAACCAAAATGAACAGCCCAATGGCTAAAGTTTGAAATACCTGAAGCATCAGTTGCCAAAGACTGTCAGAATTTTAACAGTGAAATTTCATACTTTTCAATGGTACTTAATTTATTCAACAAAGGAGATTTTAGAAGATAAATTCAGATCAAATGAACAACATGCTAAGCTTTGTAGTAGTTTAATTAAATAGATATGGATTATAGAGGTTTCTTCTTAGGGCAGTATTAAAAGCAAAATCCATCTTAAAAACATAGAAAGGCTTTGCAAAAAGGAATAGTATTCATTAAACCCCCTTCTTAGCATGGAATTCTTGGCTTTTTTCCTGACGTCAAAACATTTACGTTGCTGCCCATCCACTGTCAGTTCAAGATACATAGCCCAGATTGGCAAAGACCAGCATCCTAACAAAGCTGAATCATGCCTTGTATTACAAAGCTCAATGTTTTTCCTAAAATTGCCATTTAAGCTCAGGCAGCTGCTCAAGCCACATAAGAACATAAGAAATGTCCTCATCGTCTGGGTCAGCAGTCCATCTAGCCCAGTACTTTGTCTCCAATATATCAGTTGAGATGCTGTTTAAGGAGAGCAAGTGAGCCAGGCCACCTTCTGCAGTCCATCTCTGTTATTGTCTTTGAGTTTGCCTGAACTTTTCAAGTTCGCTTACACTTTGAATCACCTCCACAACCTTCTATGGCAGCAAGTTCCTGAAGTTCACTTTCTAGACATTTTAAAACCATCTCCTACTAGTTAAATGCTCCCTAGTTTCTGTGCTATAGGATTTCCTGAACAACAGTTCTGAGTAAATTTCATCCACCTCCTTCAATATTTTTTAAGCATTGGGAATTTCCCCCACCTTGTCCCCAGTCTCTGCAAACTGAGGGTGTCTGATCCCTCCTAGGAGAACTGCTTCATCCCCCTGACTGTGTCAGTGGTACCTAAACCCACACCTCTATTAGCAAGTTATGAGTGCTTCAGAACATTCCCAGGT